GCCAGGCGAGCGCGCTACCGCTTGAGCCACATGCCCAGCCCAAGGCCACAGGATTTTTGAGTGTTAAAACTAGAAAGTCCCAGGCAACACCTTGTTCATCGATGGCTCCCTCCCTGCCCCAGGTCACGCCTGCGTCCCTCCAGGTGCCTCCAGCTCTGCGTCTGGCGGCCCCCCTCCATCATGCCCGGTCCCAGCCTGTCCACACTCCGCCACTCCCCGGGGTGGGGAGCGCGAGGCAGCTGACGGCCCAGCTGGTGAGCGGAGCTGCTGGGGGTCTGACCCTGGGTGGAGTGGAGACCCGGGGTCCCTCAGGCACTGCCCTCCATGAGGTATGTCAGGGTCAGGACCTGGAATGTCCCCGTGGACCCGGGTACTGAACACTGGTCCCTGCTGTGGCCACGTCCGAGGTGGGGCAGGCTCAGGAGGGCTCTGATCTCCCGTTAGCCCGAGGGGGGGTCCTGGCTAAATGGACGACAGGGAGGTGATGGCAATGTCGGAGGTGGACCGAAAGGAAGGGAAGGTCCTTGGGGGGGCTTCCTGGTGACTCTCCTGTCCCCAGCCACTTCCTCTCCCTCAGCTCCCCGCTGCCAGGAGGTGAGCTGTTTTCTCCTGACATGTCCCTTCTGCCATGATGTTCTGCGTCCCTTGAGGCCCAAAGCAAGGGGGTGAGGTGACCGCGGACGCTGAGGCCATGAGCCAGACCCGTCTTTTCCCCCTTACGTTGATGGCCTCAGGTATCTGGTCACAGTGACAGAAAGGGAACCCAGGATGACCTCGCTGAACTCTGCCACGCACCTGGGGGGTGGGACAGCCATCCCCCACTTACAGAGGGGGACACTGAGGCCGAGAGGCGGTGGGTCCAGGCTGAAGCCGGTCGGGCCACCGGGCTCACTCCCAGACCCGTGGCCGCCTCTCTCTGCCTTGGAATTTCCCTCCCGCCCTGTGGCCATCTGGGGAGGGGGTGCCAGCAAGGCAGCAGGAAGGGGAGGGGGAGGGGTGTGGTGGCAGACCCCGCCCAGGGTCCCCAGGCTGGTGTGTGGCTGACAGGCCCCGTCCAGGCCCCCTTGACCCCTGGCTGCTGGCCTGTCTCCTTGGGGACTCTCGGGTACCTCCCCAAAGCCGCCCGCCCCCCACCCTGTGGTTGGCCCAAATACCAGACAGGGCGATCTCAGCGTTTCCTCCAACATTCCTCCTCCCGGCCCAGCCCCAGGCGGGCTGAGGTTACAGAAGCAGAGCTGGGTGGCTGGGCAGGGGGGACGGAGGGGGACGGAGGGGGCCGAGGGCTGGGCTGGCCAGTCCTCACACCCCATCCAGCCGCCTGCCCTCCCTCCCTCCCCAGGGCGGGATGGGGCTGGGCCAGGCGCCCTGCGCCCCTGGGAGCAGGCTGGGGGGTGGCCCGTGTGGAGATGGAGGACGGGAGCGGTCACAGCAGAGGTTCCAGGGGGTGACTGCCGGTGGCACCAGGAGCCCTGGTCTCAGGGTGGGCGAGAAGGCCGAGCGGGGGCTGCCATGGTAAGGTGCGGCGGGGTCCGAGGGGGGCCGAGCCAGCCTCCAGACTCTGCCGCTGGCTGTGGTGGTCCCTCCCCATGAGGGGATGCTCCCGTCGCCATGGCGACCCGCACTGGCCTGGGGCCACGCTGACCCCTCCCTCCACTCCCAGCGGCTGAGTTTGCTGCTGTTGCTGCTGCTGCCAGGACCCCAGGTCGCCCCTGGCATGGAGGACCCCACCTTTCCCCACCCGGGGGAGAGCTCGCAGCCCCCGCCGCGGGCCTGCCCCTGGCGCTGCTCCTGTCCCCGGGATGACACGGTGGACTGCGCCGGCCTGGACCTGCGGCTGTTCCCCGACAACATCACCAGGGCCGCTCGGCACCTCTCCCTGCAGGTGGGGCCCAGGGAGCAGAGGTGCGGACCCAGGGGTCAGAGAGGAGAGAAGCCGGGGGACAGGGAAGCCGCGGGGGGAGGTGTGGGGGCCACCTGCAGGAGTGACACCCCGACAGTGAAGAGGCTGAGCCTCGGGGGTCTGCAGCGGAGATGAGGGAGGTCGGGGTGGGGGCGCTGGGAGGGGGAGGGCTGGGGCTTGCATTCAGTGGTGAAGGTTATGGGTGCTGGGGTCAGAGGTGGGGTTCCTAGGGTCAGAGGTGGGGTGCCTGGATTCAGAGGTGGGGTGCTGGGGTCAGAGGTGGGGGATTATGTGGGGCTGACTATGGGTGGAGGGAGTTGGGGGTCAAGGTCTTGGTAGCTGTGAGATTTTGAAGAATTGGTGTAAATGGGGCATTTGTGCCCTAAAGAGGGACACTGAGGTCCAGAGAGGTGGCAGAGTGCAGGTTCCAACCAGACAGGCTGGCACCCATCTGGGAGGTTTCGGGGGTCCGAATCTTGGAGGGGACTGGGTTGTCTGTGGTCCATGTGGGGCAGTGGGGCCTTGGAGGTGGCTTGTGGTCAGGGCCATGGAGTGACCGGGGTGGACTGTGCGGTGCTGGGTGTCTGGACTTGTTTGGGCTGATGGGGGCTTGGGGTCAGGGCTGAGCAAAGGGCCGTGGGGGTCACGGTGTCCACGCCCCCCCTGCAGAATAACCAGCTCCAGGAGCTCCCATACAACGAGCTGTCCCGCCTCAGGGGCCTGCGGACCCTCAACCTGCACAACAACCTCATCTCCTCCGAGGGTCAGCACCTCCCTTGCATGTGGGGCCACGGTCGCAGCTGCCCCTCCCCTGCCCGCCCCCCCAGGGCTGTGGGCAGCTCTGCGGCACTTCCCAGAAATGCCCTGTGCTGAGCAGGGTGGAAACTTGGGGGCCGGGGCAGCTGCGGCTTCGGAGTGGGGGCGGGGGGCGGGGACCGGGTGCCTGGGGAGCCGCCTGTCTCCAGCCCCCAGCCTGCCCCCCCAGCCTGGGTCCCCTCACCGCCCCCCGCCCGCCCAGGCCTGCCTGACGAAGCCTTCGAGTCCCTCACCCAGCTGCAGCACATCTACGTGGCCCACAACAAGGTGAGCGCCAGCCCAGCAAGGGTGTCCCCTGGGAGGCGTCACAGCACCTAGGAGCCGGGGTGGCAGAGCGGGCTGGGGGGCTCCGGGACAGCAACTGTGCCCTCGCAGCTCTCGGCAGCCCCCCAGTTCCTGCCCCGCTCCCTCCGTGTCGCCGACCTGGCTGCCAACCAAGTGGCGGAGGTCTTCCCGCTCACCTTTGCACTGAGGTAGCCCTGGCCCGGGGAGGGACTGAGGGGGCGTGGCCGGATCTGGGAGGAGCTGGGGCGTGGTTTGTCTGGGAGGGGCTGAGGGGCGTGGTCTGCGGGGGGGGGATCGCAGGGGAGGTCTCTGCACTGCGGGTCTGGGGGTCCAGGGCCTTCGAGCTGCGGGGAGGCCTCTGGGCAAGGGAAAGGCGCCAGGGCACACTTACACTCACCCCCACCCACACACACTCCCACTCGCAGTCCCACTCCCATTCTCACTCACACACTCCCACTCACTCCCACTTTCACAGCCACACACTCACATCACTATCTCACACTCTCTCCCCACACCCACACACACACACACACTCACACACACAATACACTCACACTCAAACCCACACACTCACACATACACTCCCACTCCTGCACTCACACACACAATCACACACATACACACATTCATACACTCACGCACACACACACTCCCACACACTCACAGTCCCCCCACATACACACACTCACACACACACACACACACATACTCACACAGACACATACACACTCCCCGGTGCTGTGGGCAGCCCTGAGCTGGGGTGCAGGGCCACAGGGGCTGCGGGTGGCGAGGCGGGCTGGTGGCCGCAGCCTGGCTCCCCTCAGGTCCGTGTACCTCCACAACAACCAGCTGAGCAACGCGGGCCTGCCCCCTGATGCCTTCCGCGGCTCAGACGCCATCGCCACCCTCAGCCTCTCCAGCAACCGGCTCAGCTACCTGCCGCCCAGCCTGCCCGCCTCCCTGGAGCGGCTCCACCTGCAGGTGCCCCCCTGTGCCTCGTGGCCCACCGTCCCCCTCGACTCTCCTCGGGGGGAGTCCTTGTCTCCTTGCTTTCCACCCTCCCAATAGACCCCCAGAATTCCAGTGGCAGGAAGGCGAGCTCCTTGGCCCTCCCTTCCTCAAGAGCCTTCCGTGGCTCCCCTAAGCCTTGGGTCCCAGATCCTGAGTCCCATTCTCTCCCTCACCCAGAACAACCTCATCTCCAAGGTGCCCCGAGGAGCTCTGAGCCGCCAGACCCAGCTCCGCGAGCTGTACCTGCAGCACAACCTGCTGACGGACAGCGGCCTGGATGCCACGACCTTCAGGTGGGCAGGGTGCAGCCTCGAGGTGCAGCTTCCAGCCGCATGGGGGCTAGCACTTCCAGCCTTCAGCCCCCGCCCGCCCTGCAGGACTGCTTCCCCAGGCCTCATTTGATGAGTGCCTACTGTATACCGGGTTCAGTGGAGCTCCTGGCAGGGGTCCTTGTCCCCTGCTCCTGGACACTGAGGTTTTATGATTTAACGTCCCAGCTCCATCTCAGGCCCAGAAGTCTGCCCAGTCACCCCCACAGCTAACCCTCTGGCTGGCACAGCTCTGAGCGCCCACGTTTGCCTCCCCCCCGCCACTCAACCTGGCCCCCAAGTTGAGGTCTGCGCTCACCTGACTCAGGACCCCCCAGTCCCCTGATGGGAGACTGGGCCTCTCAGAGCCGGCTGACCTCCCTCCCCCCCCAGCAAGCTGCACAGCCTCGAGTACCTGGACCTGTCCCACAACCGGCTGGCCTCGGTGCCCGCAGGCCTGCCCCGGACCCTGGTCGTCCTGAACCTGGGCCGAAACCACATCCGGCAGGTGGAGGCGGCCCGGCTGCGGGGGGCCAAGGGCCTGCGCTACTTGCTGCTGCAGCACAACCCGCTCGGGGCCTCGGGGCTTCCGGCCCGGGCGCTGCGGCCACTGCGGGGCCTGCACACGCTGCACCTGTACGGCAACGGGCTGGACCGTGTGCCCCTGGCACTGCCCCGCCGCCTGCGGGCCCTGGTGATGCCTCACAACCACGTGGCCGTGCTGGGTGCCCGAGACCTGGCCGCCACGCCTGGCCTCACTGAGCTCAACCTGGCCTACAACCGCCTGGCCAGCGCCCACGTGCACCACCGGGCCTTCCACCGGCTGCGTGCCCTGCGCAGCCTGGACCTGGCAGGCAACCAGTTGACCCTGCTGCCTGCGGGCCTGCCCGTGGCCCTGCACACCCTGCGGCTGCAGCGCAACCAGCTGCGGACCCTGGAGCCTGAGCTCCTGGCTGGGCTCGACCAGCTGCGGGAGCTCAGCCTGGCGCACAACAGACTCCGCGTGGGTGACATCGGGCCCGGCACTTGGCACGAGCTGCAGGCCCTGCAGGTCAGGGAGGCCGGCCACACAGAGGGCCCCCAGCTTGTCCCAGGGCCCCCCCATTCCAAGGTCCTGCGGTGCCACAGAAGGACCCTGGGCTGGTCAGACAGGCCCAGCCTGGGACCTCCCTGTGCCACCCAAGTCTGGTCCTTGCCAGCCCCCTCCCCTCCCACTGGGGATGCAGCCGGGCAGGGGACACGGCTCCTGTCCCCCTTCTAGTTAGAAAGGTCAACAGAGTCCCAGGTGTTATGCAGTGATGAGGGGTATGGGGACACCCGTCTCCACCAGGGATTCGCTGCAGGAGTGGGAACCCCAACTGTCTGTGCCCCCAGGATGACAACAGGGTCTGCCCTGGAAGGGACTCAGGTCATCTTCATGGAGTGAAGGGACAGGCCACCATGGGGGTGGGGGAGAGGAGGAGGAGCCCCCGGGAGTGGAGGTTGGGGTGACCGGCCACGGTGCTCTCTCCCCACCTCCAGGTGCTGGACCTGAGCCACAATGAGCTGTCCTTCGTGCCCCCCGACCTGCCCGAGGCCCTGGAGGAGCTGCATCTGCAGGGCAACCGCATCAGCTCCGTGGGCCCCGAGGCCTTCCTGGGCACGCCCCGCCTGCGTGCCCTCTTCCTCAGGTGCAGGTCGGGGCTGGTGGGCGGGGGCGGCCTGCTGGCCACAGTGGCCTCCCCTGCCCCTGCCCTCATGGCTGCCTCTGTGTGCAGGGCCAACAGGCTCCACATGACAAGCATCTCGGCCGAGGCCTTCCTGGGCCTCCCGCACCTGCGCGTGGTGGACACGGCAGATAACTTGGAGCATGTCCTGGTCCAGCTGCCATCCACAGTACCGCAGCGGCCACGGCGGGGGCCTGAGCCGAGAGGGACCTAGCTGAGCCGCCCTGGCCCCTGGGGCTGCCCCGGGTGTGGACTACAGAGACACGGGCCACCTGGGGCCTGGGACTCAGGGCCTGGGCCTGCTCTGCAGGAGGGGAGCTGGCTCAGGCACTGGCTAGTTCCGCCCTGTGCACAGCTACCAGGGGAGGGCCTGAAGCGCAGGCCGAAGCTCGCTGGCCTCCAGGTTCCCAGTGTGAGGACCACCCCCGCCCTGTCCCAGATGGAGGTGGCACAATAAAGCCGAAGCTTTCCAGCCCTCCCGGGGCCAGGCGCGCTTCTGGGGCGCTCCCCTGCCTTCCCGCCACGGCCTGCCCGGGCAATCGTTCAAGTCCCCTGGCCAGTGACCAGCAGGGGTGGATTCTGAGGTCCTGAGACACAGTGGGTCACCCTGCAGCCAATGCACAACCCAGCCTTATCCACAAGTGCACAAGGCCACCTGCTGCAGAAACAGGAGGCAGATGCGCAGACCCTCAGGGTCCACTGCAGCCAGTGGCGGTCATGTGCACCCTGCAGGGACTGCCTGTTCCTTCCCAGGGTTGGGTACGGGCTACGGGAGACCTGGCCTGGCCCCTGGGCTGGAGTGAGAGACAGACAGGAGAGCTGAGCCATGTGACCCTGGCTGTTTATTCCACGTTCGGTTCTGGGGCCCTGGGCAGGTGCAACCCCCGGGGGCTGCAGGGCTCAGTGGCCTTAGTGGCTTCTTTGGGGTGTGGTGGGAGGGCTGAGGGGCTGAGGCTGGGGGACAGGAAGTAAAGTGCTTGCAGGGCTCTCGTGGCTGGGTCCCCGCCGCCCTCCCTTGGGATGTGCAAACAGGACTCTCCCGGGGCCCAACCAGCCAGGCCTGGGTGAGGGGCACTGTCCCCGATGGCCCTGTCGGGGCATCCAGCTGGGCTGGGGGCCTGGATGGGGACGAGTCCGGAATGTACTGTCCGCTGATTGTCTGCTTGGCGGCCAGGTCAGCTCTTCCCAGCAGCAGGGGCCGAGGGCTGGCTGCCCACGCGCCAGGCCCTCACCTGCGGAGCCGCTGCAGCTGGGGGAGAGGCGGGGGTCAGGGCCGCCACGGCACCCGGTGCCCACCCGGCCCACGGGGCACTCACCTCGTTCTCGACCAGGTTCCGCCGGTACAGCGCCTCCTTGGCGGCGTCCTGGGGGATGGGTGGTCAGTGGGCAGTCCTGCCACCCCAGCCCTCCTCCCGCCCAGCCCACCCTGCTGCCCAGCTCACCCTGCTGCCGTCATTGCCCAGGCGCCGGGCGGCCTCGGTGTAGAACTGCAGCTGGCGCTCCAGATGGGCCGCGTACTCTGCAGGTTGTGGGGGTCTCAGGGTGCAGGCCGGCCCCCCGCCTGTCTGCCCCAAGCCCCTAACCTTGGGGCATCTGGGTGCCCACTCCATGCCCTGCACCCCACGCCCCTGTCCCTCCAGATGCCAGTCCCCAAGCCCCTGTTGCCACTGTCCCCTCTGGAGCCCTACCCCTCCGGAGGCTGGCGCCCCCCTGCTCCAGCTGTGCCCTCTGCCACTGGCTGCGCTGCACGATGTCCTGGTACTGCTGGGCCACCTCGGGGGGCACCGGCCGCCGCGCCTGCCTCAGGGCCAGGATCTGAGGGCCCAGAAGGTGCCTTGAGCGTCCAGCCTGGACCTGCAGCCCCCAGGCCCAGCCCGAGCCCCACAGGGCGGCACCCACCTTCCGCTCCAGTCGCTCCTGGTCGAAGGCCAGCACACTGAGGCTGTGCAGGGGCCGGGCCGACCTGGGGGGAGGGAGGCAATGCGGGGTCGCCCCACCCCACCCCACGGGTTCCCCAGGCACTGGGGACACACGCCAGGCCCACCCCAGTGCTGCCGGGCTCACAGCCAGGCTGGAAGATGGCCGCACACCCAGGCCACTGTGTCAGGATGGGTTCCTGCAGGAGTCAGTGGCCAAGCTGGGACCCAAGGGAGGAGGCAACTTGGGCAGAAGACAAGGGGGCAAGGGCGGGCAGGGGTAGCGGCGCTAAGGGCACCAGAACACAGAGCTCAGAGGCCAGGGAGAACCAGACATGGCCTCCAACAGGAGGGAGCGGCAGAGAGAAGCCGGGATATTCCGGCAATGGTCAGATGGCAGAAGGTCTTAAATATCCAGGGAGGAGTTTAAACTGGATCCTTCAGAACAAGGGTGCTAGGAAAGGTGTTGAAGCAGGACAGGGACACGGTTCAATCTGTGCCTGATGGGGACTGTCCGGGAGGGACTGAGATGAAGCCACCTACCTGTTCCCTGGCTCCCTCGAGGGGGCAGGAATGGGCGGTGCCCTCCCTTTAGGCCCAGTGACCTGCTGCAGGGGACAGAGTCCTGTGAGTCTTGAGTCCCCTGAACAAAGCCCCCCTCCCTGGGTGCCGGCGGGCAGCGTCTCACTGTGGGCACAGCCGCTGGCACGGGGTCGATCACCAGCCACCTCTCAGTTGTCGTCTCCAACTGCTGAGTGGTCAGTGGCTCCCGGATCCGGACCATGACCTCCAGCCGCCCCCCTGTGGGCCGGCGACCATCAAGGACCTGGGTGGAGTGAGGGGACACTGGCAGTGGGAAGTAGGCAGGGCTGGGGGACCAGGGCCAGGACCCGGGAGAACCATGACACTGCCCGGGGATGCGGCCCAGCTGTCCGCGGGGCAGCGGTCCTGGTCCTGGGTGCACGCGGCTGGGCAGTGGGGAGGCCTGGGAGGAGGGACTTTGGGTGTCTCAGAAAAGGCACCCCTCACCTCGAGGATTTCCCGGACCTCGCAGGCCGTCTCCAAGGCGTCCAGCTTCAGCTGGGCTGTCCCCAGCACGCGGTCGGTCTTGAACAGCCCCCTGTGGGCGGGAGCAGGTCGGTGGGTTCAGGGCTGCGCCACCCCCTCCCGCACCGCCCTGCGCCCTGCGCTCACCCCTTGTGCACCACTTCAAACTTGATGCCCTTGGTCTGGATGGCCCTGCGGAAGCCGCGGTGGCCGCGGTTGATGCTCAGCTTGAACTGCTCCTTGAATTCTGCGGGGGGGCGGAGGGGGAGGAGGTTGGGGGCTGGACACCAAGGGCCCCCTGGGCAGCGGGGCGGGGCGCCCTGGCTCACCTGGCGAGTCCGTGTTCCTGACCACGCTGGTCTTGTCTTTCTGAGCTTCCTCCTGGGCCGGGGGCGGGAAGGTGGTCAGCGCTCAGGGCCGGCCCTGGACTTCCCCCTGGGGCTGCCCCCCCCGCCCCCCGAGGCTCCCCACCTACCACATTGGGATAGGGGAAGTCGAACCGCACAAAGATGTCCAGGTCGCCGGGGGACAGCCCTGCGGGCAAACGAGGGTTCCAGCGGGGCAGAGAGGCGGACCCTGCCCCCAGCCCCGGCCTCCGACCCCTCACCTGGGGGCGTGGGCAGGTTGATGCCCTTCACGATGAAGAGGAGCATGTCGCTGCTGCTTAGGTCGGAAAAGATCCTTCCGGGCGGGAAACAGGCACCTCAGCCGGGTGGCCCCACTGAAAACCCCGCCCTGGCCACCTCCGTTCAGCTCTGCCACGGCCTGACTTCTGGGTCTTTCTTTGGTCTGCACGCACTTATTTGGTACCTACTATGTGCCAGCCAGTGCCTTTACTGTTGGGGACCTTCTCTTCCATTAGCAGTATTTCTTGAGCTCCCCACTATGCACCCACCAGTGTCCTCGCTGCTGGGGACCTCCTCTTCACTGGGCAATATTTCTTGAGCACCTAGTAGGCACCCCTACATGAGGTGAGACGTTCCCTTAATATTCCTTGAGACCTACTGAGTGCCACTGAGCACCTTTGCTGCTGGGCCTTCTTTCATTAAACATTTCTTGAGCACCTACTACACCCCTTAGCTGTTGTGGAAATGTCTCTTAATTTTCTTGAGTCCTACTATGTGGTAATTAATGCTTTAGCTGCTGCAAGACTTCCCTTAATATTCTTTGAGTCCGACTAGGTGCCAGTCAGATTGCTAGCTGCTGGGAGACCTTCCTTTAACATTTCTTGAGTACCTACTATGTGCTAACCAGTGTCCTAGCTGTTAGGTGGCCTCTCTTCATGTGACAATATTTTTGAGTACCTACTATGTTAACCCATGCCCTAGGTGCTACGGGACCTTTCCTTCACTTTTTATTTTTTTCTTAGTTGTAGTTGGACACAATAGCTTCATTTTATTTATTTATTTGTACGTGGTGCCGAGGGTCGAACCCAGGGCCTTGCATGTGCTAGGCAAGCACTCTACCACTGAGCCCCAGCCCCACACTTACTATTTCTTGAGTCCTACTATGTGTCAAGTAGTGCCCTAGCTACTGGGGGCAAAGAAGTCAACGAGACAGACCCCCATCCCTGGGGGGAGGGTCTGACTAACTGAGTGGACAGATGCCCAGGGAACACAATAACAGAACCAGAGAAGAATTCAAGACTCCAAATAGGGGACAGAGCAGAGCTCACTCGTGAGGGGCTGCTCTACACAGGGTGACCAAGGAGGCTCCCGGGGAGGAGACAGTATAAGGACGCTGGATATGGACAAGGAGCAGCCCGAGGCCTGGGAAAGAGGGCCTGGGCAGGGACAGCAGCTGGTGTGGAGGAGGGACCCAGAGAGATGGCCACAGAGCTCCGGGAGGGGGGCAGGTGAGAGGCGAGGTGACAGGGAGACGGGGGTGGGCGCTCCCAGTGTGGCAGGCACCCCGAGGCTCAGTGGCCAAGCCTGACTCATACAGTCAGTGGGGAAACGCCACCGTCCCTCAGGGGCAGGAGGACTTAACAGGGGCCACGACCAACAGCACCCAAGCACAACATGGGGGTCTCCTGCGAGCTCCCTCGGCCCCCCTGGGGCAAGGTGCGAAAGTGTCTGTCACTGCCCACAGCCCTTCACTGGCACCTTGTGCCTGCCCCAGGGTCTTTGCATGTTCTGTGCTCTCCCCTCCCCGCCAAACTCTTCCAGCGCTGAGTCCTAAACCAGCTTCCAGGGAGCAAGCTCCTCCCCAGGGGTGTCCCAGGTGGGGGCAGGGGCCTTACTTGATGATGTTAAATGTCCTCTGCTCGAAGCGGGCGGCGGGCGTTGGGAGACCCCGGGCGAAGGCCTGCTTCAGAGTCTCCATGCTCTGCTTGCAGCCCTCTGCCAGTTTCTCAAACCTGCGGCGAGAGGCCCTGCTCAGGCCCCGGCTCAGCCCAGGCCGGGGCTCGATGCCTGGCAGGCGCCGTGCACTTACTTGCTGGCCTCGGCGATGTTGCCCAGGTGGGTGAACTGGTTCGAGTGGTTCAGGCACATCTACGAGAGCAGAGGCAGTGAGGCTGGGCGGGGGGCCGCAGGCAGGGCGGGGGGCCGCAGGCTGTGTGGGCTGGCCAGGCGGGTCTCACCTCGTGCTGCTGCCTGATCAGCTTGGTGAGCTCGCCATAGCGCCGGGCGGCCTCCGGAGACAGGCCTGGGCCAGGCCGCTGGACCAGGACAAAGTCGTCCTTGTTGACAGGGGCCGGCGGCACCTAGGGAGAGAGGCTCATGGGGACAGGCCTGTGCTGGCCACAGCATGCCCACGGAGGGTTCTGCAGGCTCTCACTCCTCCCTGGAGGCCACCCTTGCCTGCTGCTGCACCCCCTCCCTCTGGACTGGCCACAAGGCCCTTCCGCTGACACAATGAAGCTGTCCCTGTCATCCAAGCCATCTTTACAGAGCCCCTACTGTGTGCAGGCCCTGCTCTGGGGCTGGGGACCAGCAGTGAACGAGACTAAAATCTCTGACTCAGCAGGAGACTGACATTGTCTGGGGAACACAAACCTCGGATGCAGTAACAGACAGCAGAAGCTTCGGGAAGGATGACGTTGGGAGGAAGAGCAGGGGTTCTGGTTAAAGGGAGGGATTTTGGATGGGAGGTGGGAGCAGCCTTCTGGAAACTTCAAGAGTCTTCAAGAGGCAGCAGTGAGCCGGGCAGGGCGGGGCGGGGCACATTCCAGGGAGAGGACAGCATGTGCAAAGGCCCCGAGACTGGAGTGTGCCTGAATGTGAGTGACAGCTGGAGGACGGGAGCAAAGCAGCAGGTGGAAGAGACGGGGAGGGAGGTGACAGAGTATATCATGCAGGGTCCCTCGGGCCACAGTAGGGGGCCTGTACTTATTGTGTGCTCCTGTGGTCTCCCTACTAGGACAGCGGCTCCACGAGGTGGGGACTTTCATCTGGCTGCTCAAAGCTCTGTCCCCGTGCCCAGGTAGGGCTGGACACGTGGTATGAGCTCTGTAAATATTTTCCAATGTGGTTGCTGTTTCATGGCCAAGGAGTCCTGGCTGACCGGAAGGCAGGAGTCACTGTCCCCGCTTCCCCACGGGACCCCCTTGCCTGGTACAGGGGTCAGGCACAGAGTGACTCAACAGGAGACTACATTTCCCAGGCTCCTTTGCAGCTAGGTGTGGCCATGGGACAATCCTGGCCACTGGGAGACAAGCAAAGGTGATGTCACTTCCTTATAGGACACTGCTCTGCCTTTTTCTCTCACTGCTTCCCAAGGGCTGGAGGCTGGAGGGCAGGGAGCCACTTGGATCATGTGTCCCTGGCGTGGGGCAGAGCAACAAGAGGGACGGAGGCCCGGTCCTGGAGGCCCTCTTGTTTAGGGCTCCGCCTGCGCTGAGGGTTCTATGCAAGAACCATGTCTGCCTCGCCCTGGCTGCTACCTTGGGGTGGCCTATTTGTTATAGCAGCTTAGCCTCGACCCTAACTAATACATCCAGATCCCACAGCTGCCAAGGGGCTGCAGCCCGACCAGCGGACGCCTGGGTGGTTCCCCTGGGCCTGAGGGTTCACCTTGGCGATGTCCACGGGCAGCCCGTTGCGGGAGGCCTCCAGCATGGGCTCCAGCCCCTTGGCCTGGCGCAGGTGCATCTTGGCACCCTCCACGTCGTTCTTCTGCTTGGCGCGCAGAGCGGCCTGCAGGAGTTGCTTCTTGCGGCCCTCCAGGAAGGCCAGCTGCTGCTGGGCTGTGGGCAGAGAACCTTGGTGGGCCGCCTGGAGGGCCACGAGCAGGCAGCCGGGCAGGGGGGGCGCTCACCTCTGGTGGACGTGGCTTTGGGGGCTGCTTTGGCTGTTGGCGCTGATCCTGACTGGGGGGCCTTTGGGGGCGGGGCCTTGGGCTGGGCCACCGGGGCGGAGGAGCCGTCTTGCTGCTGAGGGGGACAGAAGTGAGCTTCCAGGGCCGTCAGAGCCACTCCCAGGCCGGCCGACACCAGCAAGGACCTGGCGCCTGGGGGTCCTCAGCAGCCCTGGAGGCAGGGGTTCTGGCCATGCCCACCGTGCAGCTGAGGGGACCGAGGCTCAGGGCAGAATGAGCAGAATGCCTGCCCACCGCCAGGAAGTGGGGGCGCGGGGCGTGCGGCTGGTTCACACCTGGGACTCCCAGGACTAGCCCCCTGCCACCCCCTGCCTCAGCCTCTCACCTTCCTCGGAGCCTCATCCTCCTCGTCCTCCGGGCCTTCGTCCTGGCTGGCCAGCTTCATGGCCGTCTCCAGGACCCCCACCAGGCTCTGCTGGGCAGGCTCACTGGCCTCCAGGCCCTGGATGGGAGGAAAGCCTGCCCGGCCAGCGGAGGCGCAATGAGTGGGGTGGACACGGGTCCCCACCTGAGGAGCCTAGGCCTGTGGTCTACTCTGAAGCCAAGGAAGGAGCTGCTGCCGGGCCTGCGCGGGATCAGCCATTCCCACCGCCCTCGGCCCAGCGGCCTCCCTTCCCAGGCCCCAGGACTCCAGGGACTCCAAGAAGCAGGTCCTGGGTGTCCTCTGTGTGAGGAGGTGTGCGGGACACTGGGGGTGATCTGGCTGGAGGCCTCCAGGATAAGGGGGGCCTAAGATGTGGACAGATGGCCACCCTCATGGGGGACCCGCAGCAGCTCTGACAACTGAAGAGGCTCCTGCCCCTCGGGGCTGGGGAGAGCCAAGTGAGCGGTCGGCCAGCGCCTGACGACTGGGAAGGGGGCGTAAGGCAGTGGGCAGGGGGCGGTGTCCAGACGCCCCCACCTCCAGCGCTTGCCAATCTCCCTGGCAAACGCTTCTGTCAGGACAGACTCTGGCCCACCCTCTGAACCAGGCTGGCAGAGGTCCCCAAGTCTGGCTGGCTGCCAGCTCCCTGTGCCAGGAGACGGGACAGAGCCCATGAAGGCCCAGAGGCTGTGAGACTGGGGACGGGCGGAGCCTACCTGGGGGCACCGGCAGCTCAGCCACGTCCACGGCTCGGCCCGCCTTGTGGGCTCGGATCGCATCTTGGTATTGCTGTGGGACACACAGGTGTCAGGGCGCCGAGCGAGGTCCCCGGGGCTGCCCACCGTCCCCCACGCACCTTGACAATGCGCTCATGCATGCGGGCCTTCCGCTGGTCACCCTTGGCCTTGGCCTGGGCTGCGGCTACATGGTATCGCTCCATCCGCTGCTCCAGGGCCTCCAGGAGGGTCCGCGGGGGCGGGGGAACCTCTGGGCCGGACAGGGTGGGGGGCAGGTTAAGGGTTCAGGGAACAGGAGCTGGTCTTGTGCTGGCCTGCCCACCCGAGGGCCCTCGCAGCCTACCTGGCGTGGTGGGTGCTGTGGCAGGAGCTGGGGGCGGCGGTGTTGGTGACGGTGGGTCTGGGGGCAGCTGGTCTGGGGACAGAGAGGTCCAGTCCAACAAGAGGCCTGCTTGACAACCCTGACCCCCACCCAGGCTGGTGGGACTGAGTAACAGGCAGCAGCAGGCTGTCCCAGAGGGTGGGCTCGGTGGGTCCTCACCAGGTGGAGGGGGCAGGCGGGACAGGTCCACGGGCTCCCCTCGGCTCAGGGCCTCCAACACGGCATCGAAGCTCTGGGAGAAGGAAGGGGGGATCAGGGGAGAGGCTGAGTGGGGCCGGGGTCCCAGGGGACGCCCGGGCCTGCCATATAACAGAGGCGTCCGGGCTCCAGCCCCTCCTTGCACCGTCCTCTGGATCCTCCTGCAGTGCCCGTGCCCTTACAGGGCAGGTAACCTGAGGCTCCACGGGGACAGCCCCGAGGGCCGGCCAGTGGCCAAGCAGCACTCAAACGTGGGTCGCCTGACTCCACATGGAAGCACCCTGCCCCCTCACCCCCTCAGTCAGGGGGACGCACCTTGGCCACGCGGAAGTGTCTGGTGGCGGCAGCTGTGTCTCCCTGCTGCTTGGCGTGGAGGGCGGCCAGCTTGTACTCGCGCTGGCGGCTCTGCAGCTGGGCCAGGGAGCTGCAAGGGCCTGAAGGAGAGAACCGAGCACCAGAAGCCGTGGGCCTGGGCTCCCCCAGGGCCACAACGGTCACGGGCCCCTTTACAGCTGCCTAAACTGAGGCTCTAAGAGGGACGCTGCCTCCCCAAGAGCACGTGTCCCGGAGAGAGCACGGTGGGACCAACCCAGGCCCGGAAGGCTGTACAGCCACCGTAGTTTTGTCCCCAAGAGAATTCTAGAAGATTTATGAATGCTCACATTTTTGACATCTGTCATTTTTTAGTCTTTTTTTTTTTTTTTGGCACTGGGGATTG